CCCTTTGCTCACCACCTGCTCTCCCATCTCCTTGCGGGCAGGAAGAAGTCGCTGACAGGAGAAGAGAAGCGGAGGTAGGACTGACCCCAGCCCTGGCCCCCTGCCCCTTCCCAATGGCCTTGCCAGGCTCCCCAGCGGGGTCACCGAAGTCCAGGGATGTGGACCCCAGTTGGGGAACAAGCTGCTTAAGCCAGGGCGGAGTGGGGAGAAGGGTTTCTCCCAGGGAAGGAGCCTCTAGAGAGGTACCTTCTGGGGACGAAATGAGGGTGCCTTTGGCCATGCTCAGAGGGAAGAGCTGGACTATGGTGGGGTGAGGGGATCTTCTGTCGTAGCATCACCCCGAGCTCTCCTGTGGGCAGGGAACCTGCCCGGCCCCTGCCTGGGGCTTCCCCGCTTGGCAGCTCCTGAGCAGTGTCAGGGAGAGGAGCAGGCACGGCGGGGCAGCCACCACCACCTTGTCCCACCATCGGCAGGAACAAGAACGGGCACGTGGGGCCGTGCCTGCAGGATCCAGCCCGCGCCGGCACCTGCACTGTGCACAAGTCCGAGTTCTGGAGCTCCTATCGCATGAACGTCACCGAGGTGAACCCGCTGGGCTCCAGCTTCCGCCTCCTCGACATCACCATGCAGGCCATCAGTGAGTGCCCCTCCAGCCCTCCTACCACTTCTCCATGCCGGCAGGCAGCCAGCCCAGGGCGCCAGCACCCTTCCGCAGGAGACACCCTTCCATGTCTTCTCCTGCACAGTCAAACCAGACCCTCCAGAAGGCCTCATGGTGGAGCCCGTCCCCCGGGCGCCGCGGCGCCTCCAGGTGAGCTGGAGGTACCCCACGTCCTGGCCCTAGGAGCCCCACTTTCAGCTCAAGTTTCGGCTCCAGTACCGGCCCATCATCCACCGCTCCTGGTCCGTGGTAAGCAGAGGGGACATGAACACAGAGCCCCGTGGCACTGGGAGGGTAGTGTACAGTGTAGGCCTGGCTGGGGACATGTGATGGGTGCAAGCTGGGCTGGGGAGGTCTCCCAAGCCCTGGGGATGGCCGGAGGCATCTCTGTGTGCCCAGCGGCTCCCCTCTGTGCCACACAGGTGGAGACGGTGAACCTCTCCGAGGTGATCACAGATGCCTTCGCAGGGCTGGAGCACGTGGTCCAAGTCAGCGCGAAGGATTTCCTGGATGCGGGAAACTGGAGCGAGTGGAGCGCGGAGGTGCGGGCGACGCCAGTCAGAGGTGCGGGATAGGAGCTGGCTGCAGCCCTCAGCATCCTGCAGGGCTGCACCCTCCATCCCCGCTGCCCCTCTCCAGCCCCTTCTCTCCAACATCCCTCGTTCCTCGAGCACCACCCTGGATAAACCCCAGCTCCTGAAGCCCTGTGAACATGCCCAGCTCCCAGGTCCACAGAAACAGAGTGACTGATTTTCACCAATGTCTGCGTTTTGCCTTTCCAGACCCTGCCATCGTGGTGAGTGAAGAAACCACTACAGACACCAGCCTGGAGAGCCTGGCTGAGGAGCCCTCGCAGGCTCCCAATCCTGAGCCTATCAGTGAGTAGAGCCGGGAGCTCCCAGGCAGGAGTGGGGAGAGCCAGTGGGCTGCCGGCTTCCAGCACGAGTCCGTTGTTGAGAGCAAGGTCCCATCTCCTGACACCCCATGTCTGCATATCTCTTATTTTGCTGTGCAAGCTGCAGAGGAGCCTGCAATAGGTTCCTATAGCCCCTTGGGGTATTCAGGGGACTTGGCAGGGGAGGTTTCTGCACGGAGCTTGCAAGTTCTTGCCTCTCCTTTCTCTGGGGCATGGAGGGCTGTGGGGTGTGTGGAGGTCCTGGGATCCAGCAGCTCTCCAGGGTGGGTGCAGGCCCTGAAGGAGGATGAGGTCCACCCCAGCGGTAGCCTGCCCAGCCGCTCCAGGCTGCAGGGTCCCTGCAGGGTGCAGGGCTGTGGCATCCCTCGGCTGTGATGGTGTGTCTCTGTCTGCATGCCCTAGATCGCAGCGACCCCCTGGAGAAGACGGCCATCCTGGTCTCCCTCAGTATCTTCGCCTTCTTCATCCTGGCTGCCATTCTGGTCATCACCATCCTCGTCTGGTAGGTTGTGTTTCAGTGTGGGGGGCACACAGGACAGGACAGGACAGGACACAGTAGCACGCAGCCCACTGTTAGGTAGGGTTGGAGCTGCCTCAGGTAGAAACCAGGGAGAGGAGACAGCATGGGGAGGCCTGGCCGTGTGTGCCACCCCGCCTGGGGTCTTCCTAAGGGACCAGTGGACCTTACTCTCTATCCCCGCAAAACACTGCCACTGGTAATGTGCCATCCAAACCCTGAAACTCATATGCTCTGCAGTCAGCACCGAGACCCCTTAATCACCTTTTTTCTGCCTAAATCCTGCCCTTGGGTGCTGCCTCAGTGGATCCTGTCTCATTTTGACAAGTCCCCTGTGATCCAACCATTGCTGTGACCCTCCCTGCCAGCGCTGTGGCTGTGCAGTCAGTCCCTGCCTTTGTCCCAGCCCTGGTTTAGTGGCAGGACCTGGTGGCACTTGGAGCTCTCCCGCTGGGCACAGCTGGGCGGGATGCACTGTGGGATCCCAGGGGCCCCATGCAGACACTGCTCTCCCTGTGCCCCAGGAGGGCTTCTTGGGCTCCTCAACCATGCTGCTCTGTCCTCAGGCTCCGAGTGAAGAAACACAGCAAGGACGAGACCAAACCACACAACTTCTTGGTTGCTGCCACCCACTTGAAGGCTCTGCCAAGTGAGTGCTGAGAACGTCGGGCCTGGCACTACGGTCGGATGTGCAGGACAGGGCTCCGTGCTGTGTGCCCTAGGTCCGGGCAGAGCTGCCCTCCTTGATACGGGGCAGTTCCTGCTCTAACCCCATCTGCCTCCTCTCTCTCTCTCCACAGAGGCACAGATCCTGTAGTGAGGCCTGGCCGCTCCCCTACCCGAGCACCTACTCACCCGCGTACGGGACTCGACACCACTGTTGGCCCCAGAAGGGCTTCCTGCCACTCAGAGCAGGGCCTGGCTTTGGACATTGCCTGCAGCCCAGCACCGCTGGGGTGTGGGATGGACCCCAAGGAGAGGGGCTGTGCTTTGAGGAGTTTAGGGCTGCCCGTGCCCCCCAGGAGCCGGCTGGAGACACCTTGGACTCAGTGTGACGGAACAGTCCCCACGGCCGGGCGCTGCTGTAGAACATGGGGACGGGGCCCCGAGCCAGCCCCGCTTCGCTGCTCAGCGCCACGTGAAAGGGGACTGTGGGCACAGGGTGCCGGGGGAGCTAGTCTGTGGGCATCAGTGCAGAACTGAGCCCTGTCCACGAACCTGTCCCCTCGCTGCCCACTGGTCTCCAACAGGCAGGGCTCCTCATCCCTCTGCCCCTCACCAGGGCAGGACGGAGCAGTGATCTCAATAAAGGGTATAGTGTTGGCGCTGCCTGGGCCAGACCTCTCTGCACGTCATGCAGGAACAGGGGAGAGGTGCAAGGTGCCAGGCAGGGGGAGAGATGGCAGCCTGGGAACACATGGCCCTTGCACTGCACTCGTGGCTGGGGGCGAAAAACAGCAACCTCTCTCCAGGGAGCTGCTGGGCAGAGGGAGACCCTTGCCTTGACCAACCCTTGCAGAAGAGGATGATCCTTGTGTGCAAGCCTCGTGTCCCTGCCAACTAAGGAGTCTTTATGGGAATGACACCCCAAAAAAACAGGACTTTGCCCAACCCCAGCCTCCCTGCCCCTCCGGAGAGTCATCAGGATGTGCCTCAGGGCAACTGCAGCCTCCTGCCTGGGGCATCTCACTTGCCATGTCCTTACCAGCCCTGCTGTGGGGGCAAGAACCTCTGCACAGCCCCCCTCGCTCTCAGTGGACTGCCTGGGCCCCCTCCTCTCTGCTCAACCGGCCCCTTAATCATTTCCATGTGTTGGCACCTCCCAGCCCCGGTGCTCAGCGCCAGCGGCTCCGTTGGCCAATGAGATCCAGGTGGGGCCGGATGGGATCAGGCAGTGGCAGCGCTGGCTGGCGCAGGAGCACACGGAGCAGAGCCAGCGCAGGGCGGGCGCAGGGGCTCTGCCCTGCGGCCAGCGCGGCAGGGGACATGGGTCACTCCAGGCTGCGCCACAGGGCTGCCCTTGAACCCGGGCTGCTGCGGGAGCAGGGAGGCATCTCTGAAGGCCCTGTGCAAAGACTGGGTTGGGGAGGTGCTTCCCTCCTTGATCCTGCCTGCCCTGGGTGCCCCTTCTGCCCCATGTGTTAGGACATCGGGGCTGCCCACATGAGTGCGGGGCTTTGCAGTACGCAGGCCCTCGTGAGCACTTCCACCTTGGATGGGGGAGATGGAAGGTCGGTCCTCCAGCCTGGTTACAGTACTGGGATGGCAGCAAACCAGGGTGGAAGTGGGGCTTGTTCCAGGCGTGTAAAGCAGGTCATTGAGCTGGGGAGCTGTGTGCACCTACACACACAGAAAATGCAGGGACCATATCCTGCGTGGATCTTGGGGCCCAACAGCCCTATCAGCTCGCCCAGACCTTGGCAACACCAGCTGTGTCACGCTGCCATCACCTCTCGCTGGAGCCCAGCTGAGATGTGCCCAGCTGGAGCTGCAGCATCTTGGCACCCCGGCAGGTCCCCACGAGCTCTGGGCTTGGCTGGGGCCTGCACTGGGGAGCAGGGAGTGCGTGTGCACCGGGAGCTGCCGTGCTCAGCCTGCACCCCGTCTCCAACGTGCCTGGGTCACCCTTGTCCCCTTGGTCCCCAGCATGCCATGTGTAGCTCTTCCTGCTTGGAAATCGCCTCTTAGCACCACCAGATCCGACCTTCCCTACTGCTGTGGAGGGCATCAGGACTCTGATTGTCCATAGGATGCTGTTGAACACACGCAATATCCACCCCATATCCATGACTTTGGTGTTTGCGGCAGCATTCAGTGTTTTCCTGGCACATGGTGCTGGTTTGGAGGCTGACGCCTGCTCTTGACACAGGAATGCACTGGCCAGTGAATGGGAGAGTGTGAGCCGGCAGCCTTGGCCCCCATCTCCTACCCTGCTTAGAAACTCCTTCAGAAAATTCAGTCTTAATCCAGATGAAAAGGAATTTCTGCTGGCCAGGATGGTACAGAGATGAGCAGAGCCCAGCACGTGCACAAAGTGTGCCTCCTCCATGCAGGCAAGTGCAGGTGGGTAGGCGGTAAAGGCTGCTCTCCCTGGGCAAACATGTGTGTGAGCCCAGTGCACAGACCCCTCCGGAAAGCGGGGAGCTGATGGTCTGCAAATGGAAATGTGGAAATGTCATGTGCACCCAGACCCTGGTCAGCCCTCCTCAGGGTGAGGAACAGGCTCAGATCCTCTGTAATCTCTGAAATACTGACGGCCAAAGGGGACGCAGAGCTGTGCTGCCCCTCATGCCAAGCCCCCGATCTCCTTCTTTAGTTGCCCCAGTGTGTCTGGGCCCAACTGGGATGTTGGGGGGGCCCAGTTTTGGTCACTGGGCTGTGACCACAATAGCTTGCAGGCAGGAACTGCACATCTTGTTCTCATCCCCGCATCCCCCTGCCCTCCACCCTGAGGCTCAGCCCCTTTTCCCCATGACAAAAGCTTTAAAGATGTGACCTAGCCCCTCTTGGCAGTAACAAAAAACAGCAGCAGGTGAGAGAGCTCTGTGCTCAGCTGCCAAGTGCCGCCTGCCTTGCTCTGAGGGACAGGGGACGCAATGGTGGCTGCTGGGCAGGATCCCTGCAGCTCAGGCAAGCTTTTCAGGGAACTCGTCTGGAGCTGAGAGGTGTGTTCCTGCCCCCAGCAGCATCTCGAAGATGTGACACATGGGCAACTTGGGACCCCAAGGAAACGGGGAGCTCAGTGTTTGGGGCATCAGGATGTTTAATGTTGGGTGCTGCACGCTCTGGGAACCCAGCTGCCCGGGCAGTGTGTGAGCTGGCACTGCACACGAGTGAACATAGCTCTCCTCTGGACCAGTGAAGATACAAGGGGAGGGCTGGGTACATAGAAATCTGGGATTAGAGAGAGGGTTCCAGGTGCCAAAATCCAGTTCCAAGCTGCAGAGAAGGAAAAGAAGAAACCATGAAAATGGTCCCAACCTGATGGCACCTCAACTTCCCACCACTGGGCTAGGGCACTTTCTTCATGGCTCAAACCTTCCAGGGGCTCACACTTGCAGTCACTGAGCTAGTAGGGAGCTTTCTGCTCCAGGCTGGAGCACTGTCTGGATGCACCTTGCCCAGAATAGGCAGAGATGCTTCCAAATTTGCTTTGCTGAAAGATCTCACCCTCCCCTATGGCAGACACCGTGCCAAGATCTCTGGGAACAAGGTTAAGACCCAGGTCTTGGGTTGCTGAGGTCTTGTCAAGTCGAGACAGCCCGTAGGATGCATACACAAAGAGTGGGAGTAGATTCCCTTACCTGCAGGGAGCAGCCTGGGCCCAGCAGGAGGAAAACAAGGGAGAGCAAAGCCCATTATGGTCCCAAAGTTTAAAGCAAGAATTGCAACATGCCAGGGAACATCCCCAGCACCAAGGCTCCAAATGGATCATTTCTGTGCTACATGTCTCCATTTAGAACAGGGCAGCCCCATCCAGAGCATCTCAGGGGTCTGGGATGGGTCAGCTAGCTGCCCAGCCGTGTTCAGCACCTATTTGAGAAAATGACAGTTTGGGCCAGAACCATTGCAACATGTCACTAGTTGCACAGTGTTGCTTGGACTGCTTGAATATGAAAGGCCCTGCTAAATATCTGTGCTGCGCCTGAATCCAAATCATCTCCTTTCCATAATTCACTCCCAGCGGAACAACCACTGCAGGACTGTAAAGCAAAACGGTCTTAACTTGCCTCTTATGGCTGCTCCTGCTTCCCTCTCTTCCACATCCTGAGCCAGGGGAAGAAGTAAAAGCAACCCCAGTAGATCCTGGAAATACAGGCACATGTAACAGATTTTGGTCATTGGGCAAGGGAGAAAGGGAAGGATACATACACACGCAGTGGGTAGCAAGGTGGGATCAGAGGAAGGAGCCAAGGATGGATGAACGTATAGATGTATGAACAGACTGACGAATGAACACATTTTGGATGCCCTAACACCTTCCTAAGCACCAAAGATTCTCACTGTGCAGGGGGGCATCTCCAGAGCAGCTGCAGGCCCCCTCAGGAGCTGAATCAGGCTAGGAAATGCTGAGATACCATCCCTGAAACGTCGCAGTCTGCTACAGCAGTGGGAAGATGGAAATCTTCACCATCTGACTGTGAGTTTTGTCACTGGAGAGAGAAAAGAAGTCTGGAGAGAAACAAAGAGGGAAACGTCCCCTTCTATCCAAGGGAGAGGAGGGCTGTTTTGGGTTATGTTCTGAGTTGCCCTAGAAATCTGTAACAAAAATAACAGGGACTGCAGCTTCCTGTGGTGTTGTCAGTAAATGAAGTCCCCCAGGCTGTTGGGGTTCCCGGGGCAGCCTCAGATCCTGTTCCCCAAGTTTTTTAGATGTTTCCAGAAGAAGCATAGCTCCCTGGGCCAAGCAGCTTTCACATCATACTGTTAGGGCACTGCGGGGAGAGCGCGGCTGGCATCCTGCCCCAAGGACACAGTAAATCCAAACATGCCTTAAAAACACAGTGTTTAGCATTTGCCCTCAGTATAGATTTCATTTCACCTGCAAGTGGAATACCCCTGCCTAGGGTCTTGCTAACAAGTCAAAGCTCCTGGCCCCTTGGAGACTCCTGAAATCACACATACTCACTTTTCTTCATCTGCCTCCCTTTCTAGCTGACATATGCCTGCAAACTCCTTCCCAATCTTCCTTTCTCTTTCCTGAAAAATAGGAAGGATCCAAATCACTCTACCCATGCCAGGATACCCAGAGTCTCCCGCTGCAAAAGTACTCTGCCAGCTGGGAAGTCTGAATATTGATCCCCAGCAAACTGTCCAGCAGGCAGAGCTATGGCACCCGGACAGAGAACATAGTCAAAGAAGCCAGAGGGAGAACGGATTGTATGGTGGGTAAACCCAAAGGATTCGAACCCACTCACCTCTTGGTGAGGTGATTTCATCACCCTGCAAGCATCCACCGGGTTTGCCATTAATGTCTGCAAGAAAGAAGGGCTGTGTCTCCCTCAGCACACTCCACGGAGTGCAGCCAGAGAGCAGGCTGTGAGAGGACACGGACGTGGTTTGGGGAGACAGTGCTCCTTGCCTCCCAGCA